TCATGCAATGCTGTGATTTCAGCTGATGATGTGTCCTTGGGCAAGGCACTTAATTCACTTTGCCCCAGTGTCTGTGTACATTGGTGGGTGAGTGGTTTCTTTGACCTCCTTGAAGGTGGAAAAGTGCTATATAAAAATGTGATGATGTGGACCAGACTATCAGTCAGATTCTCCTCTCCAGTCCCTGGATTAAAAGTGTGGAGCTGGAACCTGTCTCCGACATACAGACACGTATTCCAGTACAGTTACTCTTTCATTTGGTGGTATTCAGGGTTTCTTTTCTAAATGAAAACAAACACATCCTTCTTCATGCACTAGAGGCTTTGAACTGCAAAGTGTTAGTGCAAACAGAACGCAGTGCATGTGAGTGTGGTTTTTCCTCTCTAATTGGACATCAGTGAATATATAACGAACAGGGTAACAAAAATAAAGCTGTGTGTGATTATGTATTTTAAACTGTGATATAAAAGTATTCAGAGTATTCAGAGTACAGTACTCTGATGGCCTCATGTGTCTGAATACATTACGAAATACATTTTACTGTTTATTCAGTATTGTGTAAGTGAATATATTTCCAAAGTGAAGTAATTCTTCACTCCCACATTACACCCATATTACGCTCTTTTCTGATCTGTGTTATAATGTCATTTCCTCGTCACAAACAGACCTGGAGCTGTGTTTTGTTACATTCACATGTTTAACACACATTGTATATTTAGGCTGAGTTCTTCTCTCAAACAGAAAGTGCTCCCTGGTTTTAAACTCTGTACACTTTCACTAGATTCTTTCAATTTCAGCTCTGGAACCGCCCATCTCTACTCAACAAAAGGTAAAAGGAGCTGTTCACTTGAAAATTAGAGCGTCCTGACATCACAAGGTGGAACAAAGCATTTTGAGCTTCATAGATGTACAGACTAATCATAAACAGTTACTCAAACATATGAATGAAACAAACTAAAACTCCACGTGTGTTTTTGATGAGGACATGGAACATGGCCTAAAGCTCACAAGAGTCTGTTTTGTGTATTATAGGCCCTTTTAAGGCACAATACATGAGTTTTGCAGCTCTCCAGATGCTTTGCAGCTGTCCTTTCCTCACACATCATAAATATTCACATGACTAGCTCTATTAAGCAATTCCCAAACTTTCAGCTAACTGCATGTCAATAGCTCATTTCCTGGTTTGTGGTTGATGAATGGCTTTTAAATGAGATGCAGACAGCACACAGGAGTCTCCTTTTGACCTTAAATGCTGCTTATGGGCCCGGTCAAACAGAAGTAAACAGCAAGGCCAAAAATTCAAGTTAATGCATCTGATATAAAAATGTATTGAACAGATACATATGTACTCTAGTTTATGAAACTGTTGACCTTTTTTCTGTACAATTTTTGGTTCTAAAGTTCCATATGTTTTAAACAGACCATGTATGAAACATGGAACAAAAATTATTTCCCAAATTTCAAAGACCTGCAAATCATGTAAATAAATGGATGTATTTCATCATATCTTGTGTTATTCCATCTTTGAACTGTTGATGAAGGTACATGATTTTTCCAAAAAAAAAATGTATTTAAAATGATAAAAATTTGCTTGGAAGGACTGACATATTTTATAGAAATAGTTTCCTTTCATTTTGAAGTAATATTAAAGTATTCAGAAGAAAAAAACTGACAAATGATGTAAAATCCTGCACCTTCTACTTGTTTGCACAATTTTCCCTCCGTTACTTTTCCCTCCGTTACCATGACCTTTCTTAATAAAAAATCTCATGACTCAAAAAGTAAGAGGTTTTTCAACCTAATCTTGTACCATATGGTAGAAAACTATATGAAGCAAATATTCAAACCAGTTTGTTAAGGATATGGAAGTGAGAACCAAGAGTTATCACTGTTTGGATTTATTGCCCAAAAAGTGCTGCATATTTCATTCCCTCCGTTACCGACATGAGTTTTAAAATTTTTTGTCAACAACTTGAAAGAATATCACAGGTTTAACTTGACCCTGTTGGAGTGTAACTCTTTCCTACATTCTGATACTTTACTTATTTCAATAGTCCCTCTAGTTTCTGAATAAGAGACATTTGAATGTCAAAAATCTGCCCCCGTTTCCCTCCATTACCACTTGACCAGACCCTTATACAATATCTGTATGTGACATGCAGATAAACCAGAGCCTACGGGAGAGCACAGAGGAAGAGGAGCAGCCACCTAAAGCTCCAAACTGCACTGACGCACAGCCTGCCCAGGACCCGGTAACACACTATTTGAATGCTTTTATTTTTTTTTATTATTACATTAACTTCATTTTCTGGCAACAGATTCTAACCTCATTCATTTAATATGTGGCTAACCTTATTTTGACCCACATCTGAACTTTAAATTGTGTTGGTGATTTAATAAAACACTCACCTCATGCGTACCTGACTTTTGGTCCCCACAAAGCAAAAGGTTCCCGTGAAGTGATAATGTGATGAATGCCACTCATCCCTCCCTTCTACATACTCATACTGATATGTACGTGACCCGTGTACAGTGTATGATGTAACCGAGCCTAAAGTCTGACCTCATTCAGTCATCAGCTTCCACAGTGCAAGTTAAGTGTCTGTGTTAAAAAAGTATCTGCAGATCCTCCACATTCCTGATTCATTTTGTCTACACAAACTTCACTTCAACCTCCTTGCATTGTGCCATTGAATCACAGTATATATATATATATATATATATATATATACCATGATGCAGATCCATAAATCAAAAATGACTGCAACAATGTGACGGCGGCAGTGTGCGTTGAGTCGACACAGAACTATAATACACGCATCAAGAATGTCAGACTGCATACTGGGAAGGATTTTCCAAAAAAGTGAGCATCAAACCTCCATGTTTGTTTTCCCAGTGGGATGTGTCTATTGACGAACTCGATCTTTTCAAGTCTTTTGAACCATATCACTTTTGTTTCTGGTTCTGATATTGTCATGTTTTAGTTTTGGGATTCGGACATCGTTAATTGTGTGGTTGTTGGATCCTAACAGTGGAAAAATGACTTGAGAAATTTGTTTGCGAACTCCATAAATGCAAAAGTGAATCAGATGTGTGTGACTGCAAACCTCTGTTCAAACTGTTTCTCTTCCCAACGGAATTGAAAAATAGTGAAAGGTGAAGGTGATGGGCAGGACTGATCCACAGGAAGAACCAAAAAAGAAACCTTTGGCTGCCTAAATCATCCTGAGTTTGCATGTCTGAATCCCAAAACTAAAATATGACAATATCAGAACCAGAAACAAAAGTGATATGGTTCAAAAGACTTGAAAAGATCGACTTTGTGAATAGACACATCCCACTGGGAAAACAAACATGGAGGTTTGATGCTCACTTTTTCGGAAAATCCTTCCCAGTATGAATTGTGCAATGACCGAAAGTCCAAGATTCTTGATGCGTCTATTCAGCCTTTAGGAGGAGTGTATGGTACTGTGCTGCAAATGAAAGCTGAATTTTATCAACTGGACAAAAACTTTAAGAGTGAAAACATTTCACCGCTCATCCAAGAGACTTCTTCGGCTCTGACAGGGTTCTGTAAGTCACTGCCGTTTATCAGCCTGAAGTAAGGAGCTAACTACACTCAAACTAACACACTCTTGTTTACAGTAACTGTGTGTTAAGTCCTTTGAATAACCCTCAACAGAGACATATTTTACTTGATCATCAAATATGTCTTAGCTGATAGCCCCAGAATGATAACACTCTGGTGACAGTTCATATCTTAGGTTAGTTCTGTGGACTGTGGACTGTCTAGAGGGTCTTAGTTTCAGTGTAGTAGTTTCTCTACGCAGATGAACAGTCAAACATGTACTCAAACTTCAGTCCAGTCCACAGAATACCACCTCCATTTGCAAAGGACCAAGATAACAGACATCCAGCCTTTTGTGCGACGCTACTATTTACACAATCTCATTCTGACTTGTCTCCTGACCTGTCCCTGACCTGTCCTCTGACCTGTGCCCTGACCTGTCCCCTGACCTGTCCTCTGACCTGTCCTCCTGACCTGTTCCCTGACCTGTGCCCTGAAATGTCCCCTGACCTGTGCCCTGACTTGTCCTCTGACCTGTCCCTTGACCTGTCCCCTGACCTGTGCTCTGACCTGTCCCCTGACCTGTGCTCTGACCGGTCTGTGTCCTGTCTCTTGTGTTTCAGAGCCAGTCCAGCCGTTGGTACTGGAAGCTGGTTCCGGTGAGTCCAGTGTGTGTGAGCTGAGACACAGCTGTCACTCAAACTCGTGCATGTGTGTGTGTGTGAGAGTGTGTGTGTGTGTGTGAGTGTGTGTGAGTGTGTGTGTGTATGTGTGTGTGTGTGTGTGTGTGTGTGTGCGTGTGTGAGTGTGTGTGTGTGTGTGTGTGTGTGTGAGTGTGTGTGTGTGAGTGTGTGAGTGTGTGTGTGTGTGTGTGTGTGCGTGTGCGGGCGTGTGTGGACCTGTGCAATCCAGGCTCTTTCTATGTACAATTGGCCTACATTAAAAAAAAAAAAACTAACTAATTTGACTTCCTGGACATGGGCAGCAGATATGACATGAGGTAACTCCATAACAGTTACCTAGCAACCATAATGTGTCTAAATGACACAGCGGTTCTGATTGGACCCAAACAAATAAATGAGGGCACTTTTATTTAGTTAAATGAAGGCTTCATCTGTCAGAAAAAGTCTGTCCTTATGCATAAATTATGTTTGCGTTTTGGTTGGAGTTTTCGGTGTTGGTGACAGAGGGATTCTGTATCAGTGCTACTTCCTGTATTTTTTGTACTTTTCAACTTAAGGCAACATTAGAAAACATGAAAGCCTGTCATATGCCCTTTCATTCTAAAGACAGGACTGGGTTAGACAGGCATCACTGTGGTAGAATGAGTGAGATGAGTGTAAGGACCCTGTTGATTGGTCTACTTCCTTGTCTGTCCCCCCCCGTGGCCCCGCCCCCTCTGATGTGTCCCCGCCTCCTTGATGCTCCTGTC